CTTGGGCTGAGTTCCTTGCTTGGGTTTTGGGAGCCATTTTCCTTGGTTGTGGAAGCTTCAAGGAGCAACCTTTGTGAAGAGAGAACCATTGTGGTGTGCCATTTTCATGCACCTTCAAAGTCAGAACCTTTGAGACAGTTTGGAGAGCTCCAAGAACCATTGTTGCTCTGTTTTGAGCTTGGGTAAGTGTTACCAACCTTTGATCATGAGTTTTGATGATTAAAAGAGATGTCCTGGCATGTTTAATGAATTAAACAAGTAACCACCCAGTATATGAACCTAAAGAAGTGTAAAAATGCATGTGTGGACGTTGGAATGGGTTAAAAACCCAACCTTTGGAAGGATATCTCGCGAAATGCAGAACTGCATTCTGTCGCGAAATATCCGGATATGATATCCGGATATAGGGATCTGAATATCCGGATATTGATATCCGGATATCGGCATACAGATATCCGGATATTGATATCCGGATATGCCCCCGATATATATCCGGATATTCTGGGTTTTCATGAACAGTGAAGGTGTTGTTCATACAGAATGTTATTTTGGGTTTGTGGACCCATAATTGGCTTCTGTGGACTTCTGTAATGATTAATGTAAGTCAGAATCTAAGTGATTAAGGGCTTGTGGCTTTGTGAGAAGCTTAAAGACGTAAAACGTAAAAGAAAGGCGTTGTCTTTGTGTCTTATGCTTGTTAAGCATGAATATTGATATATTGTTGGTCCGAAACAGATTGTGATTCTGCTATGTTTGGGCTTTAAGCTAGTGGTGACTCTTGGCAGTGGATAGTTAGCTTGCAAGGTAAGCTTTCGTGTCCTCAGTTTAGCCATTGTTGGTTCCACCATGTCCCATGGGGGTATGGTTATATGCATGATGTTGTTTTCACGATATATTGATTTGTGAAATGTTGTTGAGCTGTTATATGCGAGTGCCTTTATGATATACATGTGGTGTTCCACCTATACGGTAAGCCTGAGTATGTGGTACATACAAGAGGGTGAGGCTGTGGGTGAGGTGCAAGCGATGTTCCTTGTACTTATTATGGGGTTGTAGACGTACATCCTGCATTTCTCTGGCCAGTAGAATAGTTAAAACACACATGGCATGAATATCTGTTGCACTGCATAGTTTTGGAACTTATACTGTTAAATGTTTTTGAACTTATATTGCTCGTGTAAGTGAGCTTGGGGTGGAAAATCCTTGAGGACCCCTTGTCTTACTGAGATTTCTTTTTAGAGATCTCACCCCACGTTTGGGGCACATATTTCAGGTTCAGGTAATGCAGGGGTTGAGACCTCCAGCGGCAGGAGGCTGGTGTTTAGTTGATTATATGCTGTTATGCTGCTTATGTTGGATGTTGGATATTGACTGTTGCCTTTTATATTTTTAGTTTCATGATGTTATTGTTGAGACTGTTGTGGGGCTTGTGCCTTATTTGGAGAGCATGGGGATTGTCCATGTCACTTTGACTTGACTTTATGCTTAGTTGTTTCTAGTTGTAATTAATAATGTATCAGGATATTGTCCGGACTACGTGTTGTAGATCCGTGACTTAGATACTCACATCTATGTTATGAGGTATTTCAGTTAGTTGTCTTTTGTAATTTACATACAGGCGATGTTTTATGAAATGAATTAAGTAATTCAACTTGGCTAATGATAATGACGTCATAATTGAATAGAAAAAGATATTCCATATTTTTATATTAAGCGTGGCTTAATACGATGATATGATAACAAACCGGATATATACGGGGTGTTACACCTCCGCTTTGGAGAAAGTAAGGCCGAGTTGGAAGGCTTTACATATGCTGATTTAGGGTGACAAGCAAACTCTAGAAAGCCAATAAAGGGTTTCTTAATGACATTTGCAAGAGGTGTTGTCTCCTAGCAATCAAATTTGCAAAAATATGTTGCACTATCAACAATCGAAGTTGAGTATATAGCAGCAACTGAAGCTTGCAAGAGATGATGTGGATGAAGAAGTTCTTCCTTGAAATCGACCATAAGTAGGATAAGTACGAGCTGAAGTGTGATAATCAGAGTGCAATTCACTTGGCAAAGAACTCGAATTATCGCTCACCACTAAACATATTGATGTAAGATATCACTGGATCAGGCGATGATAGAAGACAAACAACTTGAACATGCCAAGGTGCTCACCGACCAAAATTGGGCTGACATGATGACGAAGTTAGTTGGTGCAAGAAAATTTGCTGACTGCTATCAAGGTGCTGGATTGCTGAACAGGTCGACGCATTAAAGTCGGAAGAGGGAGATTTATTGGGGTGTGTTCCTTCGTTTAATGCTTGGTGGCTAGGCATGTACCATATTTATAGGTGTATGACTTAATATCTTGACAACCACCTCAATGAATGTTACCCACCTCATTATTGATGAAGACTCTAGAAGGTGTAGGATTTTTCCTCACCTTTATAAGCATGAAAACCTTTGTAATAGGTGAGCGAAGAAAGATTTGGGAGAATCCTTTGAAGAGAAGTTTTAGAGTGAAACATTTTTAGAGAAGAATCTTGTAACCACCATTATTGGTAATGTTTGAGTATACCTCTAGTGTGATTAGAGAAGTTTGAATCCTTTTTTAATCTTACTATTCTTAGTGAAATATTTTTTACTTCTCTGCTTTAGAGAAGGTTTTCTTCGTTAAAATTTGTTGTGTTTTTCTCTCCATCCCTCACCTTTATGCATTTCTTTGATTTCTGAGATTTGTCTGACCTAGTGACTTCAGACCGTGTGCTTGTGGTGGCCGATCGGTAAGCGTGTAGTGCCGACCAATATAAGTTCGTATTATCGATGGGAAAAACTACTTTCGCGTGGACTATTTGAGGGATCCTGTCCCAATAATTTATTCTAGAGTAAATACCCTTTTTGATCCTCAACAAATTTTACGATACCCGCTTTGGTCCCTAGCAAATAAAAAGGCTCATCGTGGTCCCTAAAAAATTCAAAATGGACTCATTTTAGTCCTTTTAGGGACTAATATGGGTCTTTTTTGAATTTGTGAGAGACCACAATTTTAACTAAATGGGTCCATTTTAAATTTCTTAGGGATCACGATGGACCTTTTTATTTGCTAGGAACTAAAACGGGCATCGTGAAATTTGCTGAGGACCAAAAATGATATTTACTCTTTATTCTATGCACTTGCAGGATTAATTGCATTAGATTTAATATTCCAACTCATTGGTACCATCATGCAACCTTTTCATGTTCGTCCATTGCTTAGTGTGGGGCTCTGTATATGTATTTATAAGAGCTAAATGTATAAATAAATAAAGTTGCGTCCAACTATAATTTTTGGTCTAGTGGTAAACGTTTGATCCTAGAGGGAGCTCACAGGTTCAAGCAGTCCATTAAGCAATTTATGAGGGGCATTGTTGGGGTTATTGGCCCCTAACAATTTCTTTTATCTGCTCGTATAGGCAGGGGTGTCAATTTTCAATACGACACAAAAAATTTGTATTCGGGTTGAACCATTTTCAAATTGTGTTGTGTTTGTGTTGGTAACCTGCAAATACAAAATTGACCTACGTTACTTTTTACAGGTTATTCATGTTGTTTGGTGTCGTGTCATATTGTGTCGTGTTAACCCGCATAATAAGCAACACATATTAGGGTTGACAGAGTATTCATGTCGTGTCGCGTCAATCCGCACAATAAACAAAACACTTTGAGATTAGGGGGTTTTTGTGTTGTGTCATAAAATAAATGGGTGGTGTTCGTATCAAAGGTTTTGACTCATTTTCAATTTCGTGTTGAATGTATTTGTGTTTGTGTCAAATTTATATCGTGTCATATTATATCAACCCAAATTATCACCTCTATTCATAGGTGGCTCCTCTCCATAAAAGCAAAAGATAAATTACACAGCAAATTATCTAATGGGTCCAAATAATATAGAATTTTTACGTAACCAAATTATATAAAATTTTAAGAGAATTTCGATATTATATCATACAATTACAAAACATGCATCAAGTTTTGATCTTTCCTCATGTTGCTCCTCCCCCTTTAAAAACAGGAGATAATAATGATACAAAGATCTCGGTGAGATCATCGAAAACTTTTCAATTAGGAAAATTCTATACCTCGTGAACCATGAGAAACATTGTCTAATCAAATACTATGTAATGTAAGTTAATACTCGGTTCAGCACCATTTTTCATATTTTAACACCAATTCAAAATTTTCAAGCTTCACAGCTGTCTGGTGACATCCAATCAATGGATTATTTTATAAATGTTTCAATCAATAATTTTATTTTATTTTTGTCATAGATTGCACGAAATCTGAAATAGAGCATTCGAAATAATGATTTAGTCAAGTACAATCCTCTATAATTAGAGACTATATAAAGGAATGCATTTCCTTTTACAAGTCATCAAAATTGCCTTCTTATATCTGTGCATTTTAGAGAGTAAAGATGTAAAATAACAAGAGACGAAAGGAACATTGAAATAAAACTGTATATTGAATTGATTCAGGAGAGTATAATATATAAAGAAATATTAATGGGCTTAGCCCATACCTAACCTAAATCTTAATGAATAAAAAAAATCTTTACAAATAATAAAGATATCCTAAAGATATCCTGAAGATATTCTTTCTAAAAATATTATTTTTAACACTCCCCCTCAAGCTGCAGCATATGATCATAAGCAACAAACTTGAATAAGAAAGACTAAGAAACATAACATGAAAATAAACGAGTGGGGTTGCAACAACTCTACAACTCACCCTAAAGTAAAATAACAAACATAATAAACTAAAATAAAATATTATCAATATCTCAAATACTCCCTCTCAAGATGGAGGGACACTTCATCTTGGGAAGAAAGAAAACTAAAAGGATGCTTCACGGAATATAAATCGAAGAAATTGACAGCAAATCAACTGGAATGACCATCAGTTTGAAGAGCTGGTAAAGACATCAGCCTAAAGGGCTATGAAAGACATTGTTGCAACTGGAATACAAGCCGATGGAGTCAAGTGTAACTGGAATAATCCGCGGACCAGGCAACAACAGAGATAATGGGAAAAATACATTGTTGCAACTGGAATACAAGCCGACGGAGCCAAGTGTAACAGGAATAATCCGCTGACCAGGCAACAATAGAGATAATGGGAAAAAGACATTGTTGCAACTGGAATACAAGCCGACAGAACCAGCGTAACTAGAATAATCCGCGGACCAGGCAACAACAGAGATAAATGCTCCCCTTGGATGAGAGGCCAAAATAAAGCCAAACAATGGCAAAAATAAATCAAATACAAGCCAAATCAGATTTGAATAACACCACAAGCATATGTGGGAATAAAATAAAGTTGACCAAATACAAGCCACAAAAGAAAATAAAAATAAAAATAATAAGTCAACGAAAAAGAAGAAAACATAGCCGGAAGAAACAAGATTCGGCCGGAGAAGAAACGATTATGCGGTCGGAGGAAAGAGACGCGGCCAGAACAATGACTTGACTTGGTTGATCTGATACCATGTAAAGAACCAATTCAACTCAAAAGCTTAAGTTGTTGGGAGATGCTACATTAATGGTTTTAATATCTCAACACGCCCCCTCACACGAGAGCCCACTGGGCTTGGAGGGTGGACAATGCACAAACCCTCCTACTTGTGCGAATAAAGAAATTCCACTAGAAAGAAAGTGAGAGGTGGTGACGATCGAACTCGGTACACCAAGGCTCTGATACCATGTAAAATAACAAAAGACGAGAGGAACATTGAAATAAAACTATATATTGAATTGATATTCAGAAGAGTACAATATATAAAGAAATACTAATGGGCTTAGTCCATACCTAACTTAAATTCTAATGAAATAAGGAAATATATCTTTACAAATAATAAAGATATCCTCAAGATATTCTTTTTAAAGATATTCTTTCTAACAAAAACAAGGCTCTTAGTGGGAAATTAGAGACTGAGATAGAGATTCAAGCACCTGCTGCTAAGTTCTACAACCTCTTCAGAAAGCAACTTCATCATAATCCTAATATCTCTACAGAGAGAATACATGGTGCTAAAGTGCATCAAGGTGACTGGGAAAATGTTGGTTCTGTCACACACTGGGATTATACCATTGGTAAGGTTGCTACGTACGTTTGATAATTATTTATTACTCAAATTAATTGAAAGCTGTTTCTATTAATTATGCAAAGGTAAATCAAAATTCATATTTAGTTGTCCTGGCTTATGTTATTTAACTTATCTTTAATACTTGTGAAACCCTGCAGAAGGGAAAAAGACAAGTCTAAAGGAGAAAATTGAAGCCATAGATGATGCTAACAAGTCGATCACTTATAGCCTCTCTGATGGGGAAATCAGTGAGAGTGACAAGAGTTTAAAGTTCACACTACAAGTGATTGATAAGGAAAATGCGGGGCTTGTGAAATGGACCTTACAATATGAAAAGATTAAAGAGAATATTGTAGCTGCATCTCCTGATTCTTACTTGAACTTTGCTGCTAAGGTCACAAAAGATATTGATGCTCATCTTGTCAAAGCATAGCTCCAACATGTCAATGAAGAAGAAGAAGAAGGTCGTTATGAAACGGGTTTGGCTTAAGTTTAGTGAGTAAATAAAGCATCATGTAATAAACTTTGCTGTACATGTTGTCTGTAATAATGGTTTACGCTTCTCAGTCATCCATGCATGTCTGTAATATATAATGGATGCTTGCTCGGTGTAGTCATGGCACTACATGCATGCCTCGACTGAATGCTTGAATAACTCATTCGTGGTGCTTGTAAAATGTCTGCTATATAAATATAAATATGAGAATTAATAAATGTGGATACTGATTATTGTCTTTGAATTTTTTTCAGTATAGTCTTGAAACTCGTTATTTTCGATTTGGACATAATTTTTCATTTTTCTGTAACAATGGTAAGGGGAAGGATATTGTGACAACTAAGTTGTGTTACTACCAAGTGACTACCAATCAATCTTACCGTTAGATCGATTATATTGATCCAACGGTTATATTTATTTCCATCTTTGTATGGTCATGATTTCCCAAATTTAATACTTTATATTTATTTTCACCTTTATATGGTTATGATTTTCCATATTTAATGCTTTCACTTTAAATATGGGAATCATGACCATACAAAGATGGAAATAAATATAACCGTTGGATCAATATAATCGATCTAACAGTGAGATTGATTGGTAGTCGCTTGGTAGTAACACAACTTGGTTGTCACAATATCCTTCATTCAATTGTAAAAACATAATTTATTTTCCGAGATATATTTTATGGGATAGGATATTGTGACAACCAAATAATGTTACTACCAATATTACGACCACATCTTAACCGTTGATTTCCGTCAATCAACGGTTATCATTTATTGCGAATTAATAATTAATTAATGAGTTTGATTTGACAAATGATAACAGTTGATTGGCAAAAATCAACGGTTAAGATGTGATCATAACATTGGTAGTAACATTATTTAGATGTCACAATATCGTATCCCATATTATATATATATATATATATATATATATATATATAGAAAACTTTCGACCTTATGGTTCAAACAACTATTTTTAACCACTGCAACCAACACCCGCATAAATACAATCAATATTCCCGAACCACGATGGAGTTAAATCTATTTTTGATTCTCAAAACACTGGTTAAAATTAGGGTTGGCAAAACGGGCCAACCCGGCTCGACCCGGCCCAACCCGCATTCAGCCCGAAAAAAATGGGTCGGGTCGGGTTGGCTCGAAAAAAAAAACGAGCCAGAAAATCCAACCCGGCTCGACCCGAGCCGGGTTAGGATTGGCTCGCGGGTTGGCTCGTAAAAAAGCTCACGAGTTGGCTCAAAAAAAGCTCGCGAGTTAGCTCGAAATGATGCTAGTGGGTTGGCTCGCGGGTTAGTTAGCTCAAAATATTGGCTAGCGGGTTAGCTCAAAAAATTTAATTTTTGTGGTTTGTTTTCCTGTATAAAATTATTGTATTTTGCAGTCCAACTACAAGTAGAGTAGTTTACAAAATCCAAAAACATTAAATGAAACACAAACCACTCCACGAATCACAAGAGTCATTTATCATGATTTTTTGAATTACTCTAACTCACGATAACCATAAAACGTATGTAAAGCCAAAAAATAAAAAATAAAAGAAGTCCATCAGTGGAGAATCCATCAGTAAAGTCCATTGTAAAAAAAAAAAAAAAAAAAAAAAAGAGTAACCCGCGAGCTGGCTCGTTCAACCCGCGAGCTGGCTCGTTTGAGCTCGGGTTGGCTCGGGTCGGGCTAAATCGAGCTGGCAGCTCATTTTTGCCAACCCAACCCGGCTCGTTTTGTGCGGGTTACGAGCCAACCCGACGGGTTGGCTCATTTTTGCCATCCCTAGTTAAAATATATTTCTTTATCTCATCTTCATAACTGTTTGTTGTAAATGACGAGGAGCCAAATTTATTTCATGAGTTAGTTAACACGACCATGTCATACAGAGGAATCCTAATTCTACAAAAGTGGATCAATAGTCATAAGGAAAGAGATAGAAAAAACATAAGAATATGAAATTTTACAAAATCAACATTGTTGATTTGATTATTGATTGTTAAAACTCTCTCATATGACATGGTCATGTTATTTAATACATGAGATGATTCATTTTCAATATTTTTGGTTTAAGGCAGCTAGTATGCAGTTGATCCTTCATCAACAGGTTGAAAACTAATTATTTGTAAGGATTCATTGAATGTCAAGTTACATGATGTAAGATTTACATAATTATAATATTAAAAAAAAAATTTGTCTCTCCACATCAGTCGATAAATTCTAAAGTGTATGAAGAGAAAGAAAAAAAAATTTAATATTATAACAATGTATTCAAGAGTGACAAGATAAAACTTATATCCTCAACACGATACTTACATTTCCCTATTTGTAAACATTACATGAAATATCCCATAAAAATTAAAAATTCTTTATATGCTTCAAGACATTTTCATCAATGATGAAATTGCTAAACTTAAAAATATAAAAATACGGTTATTTATATGGCCAATTAAAAAAAATTTCTATATTCCAAAAAAAAAAAAAATTCTATATTGTGTCTAATGTTTTTATGGATATTTAACAAAATTATTCTAATACAGGCCCATCGCAAGAACAAAAAGTAGGAGAGCAAAGAGGTGAGCGTGGGTAAGATGAAGTTTTGCTTTAACTGGACATGAACTGAAATGTCATGCACCACACTTTAGCCTTGTAAGCAAATCCCTTCATGACCGCATCATTGTCGCATCAACTTCGTCCCCTAAAAGTTGTGTCATCCTAGCCATCTTTAATACTATGCGTAAGTTGGAGGTCTTTCATTTTAGGAACAGTCATTGGTTTACATGGCTATTTCTTAGGCAAGATCTAATGGGTGTACATGGCAATTTTTAAGGATCATGTTTATGTTGTTACAAAAAATGCTGAATTAGGAGAATTGAGGATAAAAGCAATAGACTCCAGAAGTATAGTGTTTAATTGGCTCACTGTGAGAAATACCCCCTAATGTGAATTACTTTTATCTTAAGTTGGTTGTTTCAAATGATTAACTTTTGATGGTTGATTTTGTTCCTGAGAAACATTTGAACATTCACAAGATGGACTTTGATGCAATGGAGTGGGTTAAGCTGGATCACTTGGGTGATCAAGCTTTCTTCTTAGGGAGAGCATGGAATTCTGCAATGAGGAAACCAGGTAGGTGGGGAGGTCAAAGCAACTGTGTGTATTATCTTGACACTATCCAACTGATGGGTAAGAAGCAATCCAGATCATGACATTCTTATTCTAATTTTATATTGTGTCTAATGCCCAATCCAAAATGAGAAGCAATGGGTAAGATGAAGTTTTGCTTTGGTTACCCAAGGCCAAGGTTTTAAATGTTTTTACCTCTTATTCACTTGTAAAGCAAATGAAAGTAAGGAATATTACTTATAAGCCTTAGGTAATAGATATATCGTGTGTGCTTGATAAAATCTTGAAAATTATGTTTAGCACATGATTACCTTAATGCTTGTTCATTAATTTGTTTTCTAATATAGCTGAACTATTTTACTCATAACTTGAGCTATAGAAATCTTATTTGAGTGAAACTAGTTCCTATTGAAAGCATAATTGATAAAATTTAAATCCAAAAATTTTCATAATTTTTTTATAAGCACACTACTCCAAACAATCACATAAATATGAATATTCTGCAAAAAAAAAAAAAAAAAAAAAAAACCTTATATGATTTAGTGTAATTTGAATTACCATAGCTTGAGCTATATAAATCCTCTTAGCATAGAGCCAATGACATCGGAAAGATAACTTGATGAATTTCAATGGTGAAAAGCTTTAAGTTTTTCAGATGTGTACTCACCAGTCAGTTCCAAGTAAATTCTTGGTTGTGACTGTTTTGTTGAATGCTCTATTTCTAAGGTAGTTTATTTGATCATATCTCGAGCTATAGAACTCTATTTTCAATTATCTATAACTTGCTGCAAATCTTAAGATGTGTATTAGATTAATATCAGAATTTCTGGAGTTAAAAATCATTCCCATTTTTGTATAGAAACTAGGTTATTTTATAGGGTGAAAATGAGCATGTTTTTGGAGATCTTTGCAAAGGGAAATTAAATGCAACAAACAAATATTGAAGTACAAAGCATATATGAACAAACAAAGAGAAAAATGAAGAGTAACAAAAGAGACTTTCTTCATATTCTAGCAAATGGAAAACTCCCTTAATCCCAAAGAAAAACATTAACCCAATATCAAAGAAATTTCTTCTGAAATTGAGACAAAAACTCCTTTTTGAAACACGAACATCCAAATATGATAAGGTACATGTGAAATGAAGAAAACAATATGTAGTGAAGAACCAAGAACTTACGCAAGTCATACAGCTCAAAATCAAGCACCAAAGTTCAAGCAAAAGGGATGGTAGAAACGTAAATCGTAGAAATGACATGAAACGTAAAGTTTCTACTACTTAAGGTCAAGATAAAAAAATAACATATATATGAATATAAAAAAAAATCACAGAAGTCACTACACAAAATTCAATAAACGACTTCATATTTAAAAGATATAAGTCACATAACTATATAATACATAAGTCCAAAAATACAAAAAAAAATTAACAACCAAGTTCTAAATCAGAAAATGAGCAAAATAGCTTAGTCACACGCTTACCATTATTGTTGTTGTTGTTGTTGCTGATTAGAAGGGTTTGATGGCTGCATCACTAGCGTCATAGCGGGTAGGAGAAAGGCGGCATCTTGAGCGGCAATGGATGCGAGATCACTAAAGAATTTGATTTGAGTTAGATAGTTAGAAAAAGATATTTGAAGTCAATGCACATTCTAATTTAGGAAAAATGGGAAATATGTTTTTTTTAAAAAAAAATATAAATTAAAACCGGGTCATGGGTTCAAATTTAAGTAAAAAAGTAAAAACTTGTGTTTCTACCGTTTTTACTAAAAAAACATTTTTATTATTTTTAATGTTTCTATG